CAAATTCGTAAATCTAAAAAGATAAGTTTTTTGGAAAGCTCCAATAAGAAATAGTTACTAAAACACCAAAAAATGGAATTTTTATGATAAAAACAGCCACATTTTATTGATTTAAGATGTGTAGTTTTATTTGGTATTTGAAACAAACCGATTAATCTAGTGACAAAAATTCTGAAAAAGAAAATTTGAATTTCAAAATTTTTAGAAACTTGGCAATTTATTATCAAAGGTCTTTAAAACCACAGTCCAGAAATCTACGGTGGTCCAGAAATGTATGGTCCAGGTTTGTACGGTCCAGAATTCTACGGTCCAGATATGTACTTTCCAGATATGTACAGTCCGGGTTTTTACTGTCCAGATTTATAAATTCCAGGTTTATACTTGACCCCGTTGCCATGATAAAAATATTATAATTGAAGAAATATTACTTTAATATTATAATATATCGTGCCACTCAGCAAACGTATAGTACTTAAATAGCCAACCATCATGTTTTTCTAAATCTAATACTTAAATTGATGAATTAGCCATTAGAGTATAGGTAAAGCAAGACCAAACATTATCATACACTAAATTTCGGGTTTTTAGTATATCGAGGAGTGACAAAAATTAACATATTAGGTATATTATATAGGAACATTAATATACATAACGTACATATAGTAGTTCTATTAACATTAAATACTTAATATCAGAATATGTTGATAAGATTAACGATAAGATTAAGTTAATAAATCAAAAAAATTGGATGTTGTTAAATTTTAATATAAAATATCATTTAAAAAAACTGTGTTTTTATAAATTGTGTATTTGTTGGTTACAGACTAACAGACTTATCTACTTATGTGGAACCTTGTTTACATTTTCATTTCTTTCTATAAAAGTTGAACGTTTTATAAATGTTTAGCTACAAAAGCATTTTTAAATTTGAAATCTGTTTAATTTTGTCAAAATTTGAATTTTAAATGCTTATAAAAAAATATTGTGACAATGTTTTTTTTTATTATTTTTCAATTGCGATTGTAACTATATATCAAAAGCATTGTATTAATTTTTCACGCATTTTGACAAAAAAATGAAATTCTATTGATATATATAGAAAAAAACTAAAAAAAATGAAAATGTCCGTAATCAGCTCAAAACAAATCAAAATATTTTTAAAATGTTATGGTGTATAGAAAATGTTAATTTAAACATTAAGTGAAAATGTCATGTATCTAAAGTAACTTCTTTTAGAGTTACGCCAAACACTAAAATCGATTTTGTCAAAAACCGACTTTGAGTAAAAATTCCAGTTTTCCTTCATTTTCTTTTTTTTTTTCATGGAATTTTTGAAAACTACTCAAAAATAATTACTTTTGACCCCCTCCCCCCCCCCAATGTAACAAATAGATTCAGTTTCCTATCAGGAAAGATACTGTCGAATAAAGTCCAAAACTTTTTACCGTCCTTTAAGGTGTAGACAGACACAAAAAGAAGATTCGTCCGTCAGTACGCACGATAGATTTGAATACGTATATCGTAGAGGATATACTATAGCAGGCAAACGTTGAACGTTTGATAACAGAGAAATTCGGACTGTCTGCTTGCCAAACAATGCCAATCCGCGGAAGCGACGTCGTAGTCCAAATCAACAGCCGTTTTCACCGCTACTCCGACAGGGCACCAGCGCCCAAGGTAAGCCGTCGCGAAAGCGACGGGTATCCACCTCCCACCGTTTATCTGTCGAGGGGCCGCGCCCTCTCATTGCCGCAGAATCCCATCCCTGACCAAACCAAACCCCCTAGACCCACCCGTCACACCACCAGAAAATCGCTCTTTTCAGAGCTACAGTGTTAAACCCTGAGTTTGTTACGGTCTTGCCATGGGCAAAACAGCTAACAAGCGGAAGGGCCCCGCGCATACACCCGGGAGTTCCAAGAAGGGACGTCCACGTGCCTCACCATCCCCACCGTCCACCTTCCTAAAAGGTCCACAGAGGGATTCCCCCCCTCTCCAACTCCGTCGACCGACTCATCAATAACAATGTCGTCAAACTGCTCCTCTTCCGACACCGAGTCAAACAAATCCGCCCAACACTCCGCCCCGACTACTAAACCTCCACCAGCCAAAACATCCGAACAACAAATCCCGACATCAGCCAAACCCAAGCAAATCAGGCCACCCCCCTTAATCTTAAACTCTGCGTCCTGGCGAAAAATCGCACCAACCATCTACAAACTTCCGAACTTCACTCCATCGGCAATTACAGCCAAAACCACATCCAATGGACAAATAACTGTCCAAACTACCGACCCCACCCACTTCCGACAAATTCAGAGAGTCCTAGTTGACAGCAAAACTGAATTCCATACCTTCAGCCTCCCTGAAGATCGTTCCCTTAAGGTCGTTCTAAAGGGCATACCGACCGACATCACCACTGACGATCTAAAATCCGAACTAGAAACCCTAAACTTCCAAACAAAATACATTCGCCGTTTCGGTACTCCCGAAAAACCGATGCCCATGTGCCTCGTACACATTGCGGCAACCCCGAACGCCAAGGATATCTTCCTTCTCAACTCCCTATTTTATCTTACAATTTCGGTAGAAGCCCTTAAACCTTCCGGCCCGGCACAATGTTTTTCGTGCCAACGTTTTGGACACGGTTCCCGTAACTGTGGCCACCCACCCAGATGCGTCAAGTGCGCAGGAAATCACTTGGCATCTGAATGCCAAAAAACTCCCGAGCAAACCCCGACATGCTGCAATTGCGGCGGGCCTCATACGGCTAATTTCCGCGGATGCCCACATCTCTTGACGATAAAACCCAAAATCGCACCACCAACAACCAAACCTCAAACCCTGCCGCCGACAACTCAATCTTTTACACCACCCCCGCCCCCAACAACAACTACAATAAAACCCCAAACCTGCTCGTACGCTGCAGCCACCACCGGCCAAGCGGCCCCACCACCACCACCAAAACCGACCAATCCCGAAGCCCCACAAATTAACCTGTCCCTCATTTTAAACCTCCTGACCAACCTCTTAACAGCCATAGTAAACAACCAGTACCCCAAAACCCTGATACAAACAGCAATACAATCATTCTTAACCATACTATCCCCCCAAAATGGATAACTTAAAAATTCTATTTTGGAACTCAAACGGCATTAACCACAAACTTGACGAACTGCGCTCTTTAGCACTACAACTGAAAACCGACATAATCCTACTTAACGAAACCCACCTAAAACCCTCTGCCAGACTTCACATTCCTAACTTTTTTACGTACAGGAACGACCTGCCGCCCGTGCGGGGCTCGCCCGCCCACGGAGGCACGGCCGTTCTCGTCAACCGACGTATCGTCCACCAACCATTTACCCTAAACACAACCATCCAAACCTCTTCCATCCTCGTACAACTAAACGGCCACGAAGTACTTATTTCAGCCGTATACAAACCACCCGGAACCCTACTAACGACAAACGACCTCGACCTTTTGACAAAGAGTGCCGAATGGCAAATTTCGGCAGGCGACTTCAACGCCAAACATCCGCTGTGGTATAGCCACACGACTAACGCTGCCGGCCGTGTCCTCTTTGACCACGCACAACAATCGGACTACTCTGTAACTGCTCCCTCTTCTCCCACACATTTCCCGACATGCACACGATACAGACCTGACATACTCGACATCGCCCTCGTACGACTACCCTATCAAACCCAAATCACTAACCTCAACGAACTATCTTCCGACCACAACCCCATTCTTCTAGATACACTCTGCACTCCGATCTCTTCTTCTCCACCGGTTACGAATCGGTTTATTAACTGGAAAAAATACACGACAACTCTCGCGAACTTACCGAAATCAACCACTCAACCGACCAACGACCGTGAGTCTATCGACCTGGCAATCGAAAACCTCACAAAACATATCCAACAAGCGGTTGAATCCAGCGTATACGTACCGACACGCAAACACCCGTCCACTGTAGTACCAGACTACATTAAACTGGAAATACAAGACAAAAACCGTATACGCCGCGAATGGCAAATAAACCGCGACCCGACAATTAAACGACAACTAAACGCCAAAATATCTCTCATACGTACCTTACTCGCAACGCACAATACTGACCAATGGGACATCTTTCTTAACTCACTAGACCACCAAGACGGTTCAATATACAAACTCAACAAATGTCTCTTACACAAACGTCCAGCATCTCACCCACTAACCGGCCCCGACGGCCTAGTTTTTCCGGCCAACGAACGAGCAGAGCTGATAGCCGACTCGCTCGAACGTCAATTTCAAACAAACCCCGGCCCCGACTTACCAGACGTAACCGCTCACTCCCAGTACCTACAAGGCCTTGACATCACCCGATCTAACCTCTTTACCACTCCCGGCCAGATACAAGACATAATTCGCAACCTTCGCAAAAAGAAAGCCCCTGGTGACGACCTCATCACCAACACGGCTCTTAAATTCCTACCGAACAACGTTATACTGTCCCTTACTCGGATCATCAACAGCGCCTTCAGAATCTGCTTTTTTCCCCTTGCCTGGAAAAAAGCAGTCATCATCTCCATTCCCAAACCAGGCAAAGACCATAAACAACCCGAAAACTATAGACCAATCGCCCTCCTCTCCTCCCTGTCCAAAATTTACGAACGACTCATCCTCACCCACCTACAAGACAAACTCAAAAACAAAATCCGTCCCGAACAGTTCGCCTTCAGACCCGAACACTCGACCACACTACAACTGACCAAACTCACCCACCAACTGAGCGAAAACTTTAACAAGACTTAAACACTGCTTCCGTCTTCCTCGACGTGGAGAAAGCATTCGACCGCGTCTGGCACGAAGGCCTACTCTACAAACTCTCCAAACTCAACATCTCGTTAGAAATCGTAAAAATCATCCAATCCTTTCTCACCGACCGTACTTTTACCACTAAAATTGAACACTCCTTCTCTACTACCAGACACGTACTCGCAGGAGTCCCTCAGGGCTCCTGTCTCTCACCGACGCTATACTTGACGTACATTAACGACATTCCAACGACTCCTAAAGCCAACCTCTCACTCTTCGCTGACGACACGATGTTCTTTACTAGTAATAAAAACCCCAAACGTGCAACCATACAACTACAACACCAACTCAACCTCGCGTCCAACTGGTTCCACAGGTAGCGAATCAAAATAAACCCGACCAAAACAGTAGGCGTCCTCTTCGGGCGTTCTAATACAACCCACATTCCACCTCTAACCATCGATAACCAACCCGTTAACTGGTCAAAACAGGCCAAATACTTAGGCGTCACGATTGGACGTAAACTTACATTCAACCAACACATTCAAGACGTAACCAAAAAAGCTACCCGCGTCCGTGGTATGCTTTACCCCTTACTTAACCGTACTAGTCCCGTTCCGCTGAAAACAAAACTTAACATACTTAAACTCTACGTGACCCCTATACTTACATATGCTGGCTCTTCCTGGGCACCCTTTATCGGCCCCTCCCATTGGAGACGTATTGAATCCGTCCAAAACATCGGCATACGCACGATAACCGGTATGCCCACTATCGTTAGAAACTCGGTCCTTTTAAAATCAGCCAACTTCAAATCTATCCAAAATTCCATTTGCTCTCAATCAAAAACAATGTTCTACAATAACTCTTTTTCCGAATACGATCATATCCGCCTCTTAGGTAAAACCCACTCCCCTCCAACCACCAAACGTTTACTCAAACCATACCCATTAAATTGGACTGACTTACATAACTGAACCTACCAATCAACCCCAAAATCCATCCACTAGTAGAGGCACAAGCCTGGAATAGTAAACGGCATAGCCACCCCTCCCAAAGCAAAGCAAAGCAAAGCGAGGTCAAATCAACGTTCGTCAGTCAACGTTCAGTTCACATCCGAATATCAATCGTCAAGTCGTCAAGTCGTTTTCAACAGAAAAACACTCGAGAAGCCACCATACCTATGAAGCATAAACTCAACCAAGACCTCCATACTTCGTAAGTACCAACTTCTTTATTACTTCCCCCCTGATCACGAGGCAAGTGCACCTGAGGGGTGCACATAGCCGGGTCACGAGCCGCTCGCTCCCATCCACCATGGGGCACCGCGTCGGCACACACCGCAAAAACAGCAAAAAATCCAACACTCCGCCATCAGTCAAAGTTCAAACCATCATGCAACTCCGCCAAAGAAATCAACCGTCTTCCAGCAATCAACAAACTCGCAACGAGCCAAAATCTCCAACCCCTTCGTCCGTATCTATAAACTTGGAAGACAGCTGGAACAGCAATGGGTCTATACTCTCTCACTCACTCACTCAGGAATCAAGCCTTCATCAAGTTGTAAAAACCATTCAAAAAAACCCAGCATCTACTTCAAACAAAATTCATGTATCAAATAAAACTCAAGCCAACCCAAACCTATCAGGAGATTCACTTCAATCATCAACCATAGAAGACGACGAAAGCAGTCACCAGTCCTCTATAATCGACCGCCAGCACATTCCACTACAAAACACCACTGTTCGCTTCCCGCCAATTTTCGTTCAAACTCGTCCAAGTCTTCCATGGCACAAAATCGCCAAGGAGTTGTTCAAACTAGAAGGTCTCGAGAATATCTCTGCAAAAATTACATCTACTCCTTCACAAATTAAAATCAACTGTCCTGACGAAAAATCATTCCGTACCGTCCAAAAGTTCCTGGATGCAAACCAGGAGACCATAGAGTACTTCTCTTTTCCTGTACATGAAGAAAGATCCCTGAAAATAGTCATCAAAGGAATCCCCCTTGAGGTAACCGACACTGAGCTATCAGACGAACTCACCATGCTAGGCTACCAACCGCAATTGGTCAGAGGTTTCCTAAAAAACGGAAAAAGGATTCCCATACACATGGTCTCATTAAAAATGACAGAAAACGCGAAAGACATCTATAATATCGGTGACATTCTCTTTGTAAGAGTCAAAATTGAACCGTATAAAAATTCTGGGCCTGCTCAGTGTTTCAACTGTCAACAATTTGGCCATTCTTCGCTGAACTGCAATCAAACCCCACGATGCGTAAAATGTGGTAAAGAGCACTCCACCAAAGAGTGTACTAAGCCCAAAACAGATAAAGCTACCTGCTGCAACTGCGGAGGGGAACATACTGCCAATTACCGAGGTTGCCCTCACTACATTGAAAAGCACAAACCAAAACCCATTCCCAACAGCGTACGTGCTGTGAACATCGCACATCAATCTGCCCTGCCTTCTCCACTCACCGCACCTCAACCGCCAAATGCCCATCAAACTACCTCCGTAACTTACTCTGAAATAGTAAAATCTCACTCCTCAAATCCCACCGAACCTGCTGTTACAATGACGCAAATACTTAGCATTATCAAAAAACTACTTGGAACCATTCAAAAATGTCCAGATTCAAACTCAAAAGACGCTATTCTGAATACAGTCATGTCAATTCTCAACTCCATTCCTGAAAATCATCATGTCTAACATAAAAATCATGACCTGGAACTGCAATGGCATCAGCAAAAAGACACAAGAACTAACAGCATTTGTAAAACTCCACAACATCCATGTAATTCTACTAAGCGAAACCCGCCTTCACCCAAAAACTCAACTCAAAATTCCAAATTTCCACATCTATCGTTCCGATCGTCAACCGCTGCCAAGACATCCACCAAACGGGGGAACTGCAGTACTGATCCGTCGTGGAATTACGCATAATCATGTCAATATCTTAACTGAACTTGACTCAACCTCCGCACAAATAAAAATAGAAAACGAAATCACCCAGGTTACGGCGGTCTACAAAAGTCCGAGCGCTACCTTAAAATCGTCAGATTTGGATGCGTTAACCAATCACAATGGCCCACTCATAATCGGCGGTGATCTAAATGCCAAGCATACAGACTGGAACAGTCTACGCTCCAATAAATCAGGCAAGACCCTAGCGCAACACGCCGAATCGTCAAACCGATACTCGGTCGTGGCTTCCGACTCGCCGACCTACTTCTTCATTCTTCTTTCTTCATATGTTCCTACGCACCGCCCAGATGTCCTCGACATCTTTCTACTTGATACGCCAAACTGGAACTACTCCATCAACAACCTCTGCGACCTTTCTTCTGACCATAACCCCCAGATTATAAACATACAATCTCGAATGTCACTATGCGGACCTCCTAGAGCAAGAAAGCGCATCAATTGGAAAAAATTTGAAATTGAACTAGCACCTCGGATTAAAAACAACCACATCTCAACCATCTCAGACATCAATAGGAACATTGTCCAACTTACGAATAATATCCAAAATGAATGCGAGAACTGTTCCTACTCAGTGGGTCAATCAGAGCTCTTAAAACCACTACCGGACGAAATACTATTAGAGATCGATACCAAACGTATATTGCGGAAAAACTGGCAACAAACACGAGACCCACGCACGAAAACACTATACAACGCCCAGGTATCCCACGATAAAGATTTGCTCACCAAACACAGACTCCACGAGTGGCAACTCTTCACCTCCACACTAAATTTTAAAAATAAATCTCTATATAAACTGAATCGTCGACTTCTCCATAATCCACCACCATCTCAACCGCTCAGAACTTCTGCTGGGACACAAATATACGACTCCAACTTAAATGCTGAGCTTTTTGCCGACACAATGACCGCCCAGTTCCATAACAACCCAGGTCCCCCACTACCTGAAGTAAATGACTCCATCGCTAAACTACGAGCTCCCAATATTCCCCCGTCAGAAAATTACGTTTCACCGAATGAAGTATGGGACATAATAAAACATCTCCCGCCAGCGAAAGCACCGGGCGAGGACGGCATAACTAATAAAGCGTTAAAACACCTACCAAAAATAGCCATCGTACTCCTAGCGAATATTTACACATCTTGCTTTAGACACTCCTATTTTCCTGACCAGTGGAAAAAGGCCCTGATTGTTATGATCCCCAAGCCCACGAAGAACCATCAAATACCAGACAACCATAGACCTATTTCATTACTTAATACTATGTCCAAAATCTTCGAAAGGATAATTCTACGGAAACTAAACAACTACATCAAAATCAGATTCGAGCAACATGCTTTCCGTACGGGCCATTCTACAACCACTCAATTAATAACACTAACTGACGAACTATCATTAAAATCCAAAGAAAGAGAAAATACAGCGGCTATTTTTCTGGACATAGCGAAAGCTTTTGACCGCGTTTGGCACCAAGGACTTCTACACAAACTCATGCTTGCTGACGTCCCTATTCCACTGGTAAAACTGTTAGAATCCTTTCTTAGTAATCGCACATTCAAAATCAAAACTTCTGATCTCTCAACAGAACGAAAAATCCAAGCAGGCGTTCCTCAGGGATCATGCTTATCTCCGCTTCTCTATTCAATTTATACAAACGACCTCCCCACAATAGGACCAGTAAATCTGGCTCTTTTTGCTGATGACACTCTCCTATACGCCAGCAACCGGAACTATAAATACGCAGTTATGGCCCTTCAACGTCAACTGAATACTATGACAGATTGGCTTACCAAATGGAGAATCAAACTAAACGTCACAAAGACAGTAGCGGTATTATTCGGGCCTCAACACAAAAATCTTGATATGAAACTTACTATCCAAAATCAAACCATCGAATGGAGCAAAAATGCAAAATACCTTGGCGTCACGTTCAACCAAAATCTGAGCTTCGTTAATCACATCCAAATTACCATCAAAAAGGCGCGTGGTGCCCGGGCAGCACTCTACCCTGTCCTAAACCGCAACAGTACGGTCCCACTATCCAGCAGACTAACTATCTACAAAATCTATATAAGACCAATTCTTTTATATGCCGCTCCGATTTGGAGACACCTCATTGGTCCATCCACATGGAGCAAAATCGAGGGCTTCCAAAATATGACACTGCGTACCATAACAGGCGCTCACTATCTCGTAAACAACAATAACCTACGAAACTCTACCTCCATTGCCCCTCTAAAGGATGAGACACTACACCTATCAAAATCAATGGCATACAGGCTATCACTTAGTCGTCACCCCCGCCTATCAGCACTATCCTAAAGTGTCAAAATTGCTCATGAAACAC